TTCGGTGAGGAGGTTGACAAGGAGTATAAAATACCCTCAAAGCTGTAGCTGGATGTGAAACACCGAGGGGCAATTCTAAGAGCGTGGTCCCAAGGTCAGGTTTGTGCGGTAAGGAAGGGAAAGGCCTGCAGGTATGGAGCAGCGGCGGACTGGGCAGAGGGCAATGGAAACTTGGTGGAGAGTCAGCAGGACTTGAGTTGTGACTATTCACCCAGAGCCAGGCGGTGGTCACTATAACTGTCCTTACACCCAGGAGATGGGTAAGTCCCCTTATTTGGAGATAAGTATAGAAAAATAATGATTTTTTTCAAACAGACTTTATTTTTTCGAGCCGTTTTAGGTTCACAGCAAAATGGAAAGTGGAGGACTCATATACCCCTGACCCACACAGGCACACCCTCTCTGTAATCAACGTCGCTCACCAGGTGGTGCATTTTTACTAAGGATGAACCTACAGGGACACATCACCATCACCCAAAGTCCACGGCTTACCGTGGGGTTCCCTCTTGGTTTTGTATAGTCAGTGGGTTTGGACAAATGGTTAAAGATGTGTACCCACCATGATGGTGTCATACAGAGTAGTGTCACTGCCTTAAAAATCCTCTGTGTTCCACTTCTTCCTCCCTCTTTCCCCCCCAGCCCCTGGCAACCATTCATCTTTTTACTGTAGTTGTATCTTTTCCAGAATATCCTAGAGTTGGAATCATACAGTCTGTAGCCTTTTCCGACCGGCTTCTTCCACTTAGTAATAGGTACTTCATGTTCCTCCATGTCTTTTCATGGCTGGATGGCTCATTTCTTTGTAGCACAGAATAATACACCATTGTCTGGAGGTGCCTCAGTTTATTTATCCTTCACCTACTTGAAGGACATCTTGGCTGCTTCCATGTTTTGGAGATCAAGAATAAAGCCACTGTCCCCCTCCAGGTGCAAGTTTTGAATTGGATTTTCAATTGGCCGATGTGGCATTAGGTGGACGTCCATACCTGTCTTCCCATTCATGTAGGAGTGACAAACATTTTATTTTAAAAACAAAAACAGAAGTCGCCTTCTCCCCTTGTCTTCGGACAGGATGGTGAGGTAAGGGTTTATTTCAGCCTTTTATTTGGTGTCTCACTTCATTCTCTCAGACACAGGATTGTTCACGGGAGCAAATGACGACACTTCGTGTCTAATTAGCAACTTCTGATTGCTCTCAGCCTGCCACGGCGTGTTCCCTCTCTCCTTCTCTCACTGGGGAGGAGGTGGGTTCCAGCATGGTTTCCCTGTTCAGTCTGGCGAGCTGGCCGGGGATCGTGGAAATGGGGTTGCTTTTGGCTGTCGTTAACAGCTGCATCGGGGAGCAGGGGTGACTGCTGGAGGACCTTGGCTGACAGAGGGACCTGGGAAGAGAGAGGTCATGGAGAAAGCCCATTTCCCCAGTCCCTTCTGAGTCCAGCCCTAGCTACCAGCTTCTCCCCTGTAAGTCAGCACCTCCGCCAGGCGCTTCTGCTCAGGGAGGCCTTTCTCTGCTCTTTCCGGCCAAACTGCCCAGCTGTTCTGGGTAAGATGGTCTGAGTCACAGTGTGGTCTCTCCACCCCCCCCCATCAGGACTCCACTCAGCACCCTGGAGTTAGGCTGTGGCCATCATAAGTCCCCTGGGAACTGTCCGCCGTCTGTGTCAAGTCCAGGCTTGTGTAACTGGCTGTGTTCTTTGACCTTTGACCTAGTTCTTCAACTATATTCTCTAAACTTCCATTTACCCATTTAAAAGGATGACTAGGTTATCTGGAAGTTCCTTCTAGCCTTAATAATGCCTCGGACCATGGGTCATAGAATCTCCCCGCTAGTCCTTGGAGCTGTCCTGCCTATAAAAATGCCACCGTATCAGGGGCGTTTTCATGTTCTCTGCTGCCTTTTCTGCAGGATGGCGCTCCTGATCACCAGGCCGGGGAGCTGGTGAAAGTCCTAGATAGTTGGGTATACATGGGTCATTAGGAAAATTACGGAAAGAAGTGGATGTCTAAACCAGTAATGTCTGAAAAATACACTCCTGGAGTTCAGATGTAGTTGAGTTGTTTGTAAATGGTTTTGCAATGAAGCAATTTTCTCTTCCCTAAGGATGCTACCCTAATGTACCATACCTGAGTGTTGTCCTAGCTGCCCCCTCCTTTATTTTCAAGTGTGAATTCATCCTTGTCCCCCACTCATTCCCGGTTTGTTCGCGACTTGATAGCAGAAGTGGGAGGGAGGTTACAGGACACTTCAGTGTGCTGGCCCCCATCAGGTGCAGGATGTGGTGCGGGAGAGCTCAGTCTCTGCCCTGCGGCGATGGACTGGACGCCCAAGGCCCTGGGGCGTTATTGACACACAGGCAGGGGAAGGTGCCAGGTTTGCACCTGGAGTGCGAGCGCTTAGCTGGAAGTACCGTGGGACCTCAGCTGCCTGTGCCTTCAGACACCTTATCCAGATCAGGAGACTGAAGATGTGCCTTCACCGGTGTGGATGGCTCTACCCCGAGCTGAAACCCACGGTTGTTTGCAAGCTTGGAGGGGGAAAGAATGCAGCCTGGCCCTTTGCCCTGCCCCTCAGCGTGTGCAAAGACTCGGTAGGCGAGCAGGCACTCGGGGACAGGGTCTTCCCGCGAGAGGGATGTGCAGGCAAGAAGGGGTGCTGCCGGCCTCACCCGCAGGGCCACCGCTCCCCCACCCCAGCGGGCAGGGGGCAGCAACGTTTCTGGCCGCGCAGGCGCTCGCTTGCTGTTATTTTCCTCTTTGGATCAGCCCACTCTTATTTCAAGAGTGGAGTGGGACGCTCCCTAGGGCGTTATAGGGTGTCATCTCTGGCATTTGCTCCCGCTGCAGAAAAACAAGTCCCAATGCAATGCACTCGGGTTTCTGAACAGCTGCCCGAGCGCCGAACTCCGAAACCAGACAGTCAGCAAAGCTGTCAGGAGGGAGAGCAGGGACTCAGGGGAGGGAGGTGGGGGTGGAGGGTGCTCGGGGCAGGGTCGGGGCTCAGGGAGTGGGGGGAGGGGGTCAAGGGCACCCATTTGGTGGGCGACGCCAGCCTGGGTGCGGGCTAGGGTGTGGGAGGGAGAATGCCTAGGCTGGGTGGGGTGCCCGGAGTGGGGGTCGAACTGGGGGTGGTGTCGGGGTATCCGCTGGGCAAGCCATGCTGGGCGCTCCTCGCCCCTGGGTCTGCTGGGTGCGGAAGGGGGGATGCGTCAGGCTGGAGG